CTTTTAGAGAGGGGGGGGGGGGGGGGGGGGGGGGTCCATCATACTCCTTCAGGAGAGAGTCGTCTCGCACCAGCGAGCGCCGATCTCCCTCTGACTGGTACTCACCGTGTCGTGGCCGCAGAGACTAGAGTCCTGCCCCAAGGCCGAGAGATGATTTCAGGAGCTATTCTCCTGAAGCACCTCGCATCGCACTGAGTGCTGCACTTCGGTCACTGCTGAAAGAATCATCGGTAGGTGAGTCAGTTCTGTCCATCTCTTTGGCAGACCCTCCTCTACCTCCTGAATCAGCATGTGACTTGGTCCGAGAAGCAGGTCCAGCAGAGGCGATGCCTGCCACAATGGTGCGTCCGCTTACACCTGAGACCTCGGCGAAGTCTGGTGTGGTCGCGTCCGTCAGCGCCGGTCCTCTGGCACCTAAAGAACCTGCCACCAGATCTGGCGAGCCTAGCTCACCGATCAGACTTCCACTAAGGTTTCTCTGCAAAATCATCCGTGATGGTCCTAATGAGAAACCTCACATTCCGGTGACCATGGAGGGGACGCTTGTCTGTGAGGGCATCATGGACTCCGGTTCCGATTTCACCATCATGTCCAGCTCTCTCTGGCAGCAGGTCCGCATGGCTGCAGCTGCACAGGGTCGAGTCTTAGGACTCGTGCCCTGCGCTGTGAACATCCATCCTTTCTTTTCAGGTAAAATGACTTTGTCAAATGTGGTGTTCCTCAACTTCACAGTGGGAGACATGTCCGTGAGCCATCCGGTGTTTGTAGCTAACGTTGATGCTTTTCCTTTCCTTTTGGGAGGGGACCTGATCCAATGCTTTAAGGCTGTCATTTCACTCGGTGATTGTACACTCCGAACTCGGCTGAATCAACCGACGCCCTTGGCGTCTCTTGAGGACATCATTCCCTCTTCAGGCGTTATTAACCACAACGGCGCCGTCAGTCTGATCAGTCGATCCAGTACCTCAGAGGTCGGTGACTTCCACAGTGTCGGCGCTGTCTCTGCAGCAGGACCACTCCACCCACCAAAACCACCTACCCTAGGGGGATTCAGCGGTTGCAGTGACACACCAGCTGAGACTCCGCACCCTGCGGTGGGAACACCACCTGCCAAAGGGGGGATTGATGGTGGCGCTGATACTCCGGCTGAAGCCCAGCACCTTGCGGTGAGGACTCCACTTGCCGAAGGACGGGCTGAGGACATCACTGACACTACTGCACTGCAGTTGGCGCTGGTGACCTCTAGCCCTGAGGTTGGTGACTTACCTACCAAGGGGGAGGTTGAAGGGCACCCTGTACCACTACTGGCTGACCCTGATCTCTCTGACTGCGTCAACCGAGGACCTCCAGAGTGCTCACCTGCGCTGAACCCTCACAAGGCCGTGCCAGTCTACAATCTAAAATGTTCATGGTTTCCATTTTCAGCTCTGACAAAATGGGTTTTGTTAGTCGCGTGCATGAGTCTGATATCGACCGCAGCTGAGATTCCTTCTCAGCCTCCTCTAACGCATCTGTACGAACCTGGGCCCTCTTCTCCGAGACCGCCCAGGTCTATTAATTACTAACTATCATCTATTCACACAAAAGATTTTCGTCAAATTCGACCATGCTATGGCGTGAACTGATAAAATGACAAATGTCTATGGCAACCTCTCGGAAACGGGAGCCCGCTGGACTAGTACCCTGACGCAGCATGCAGAAGCTCACATCCGTCACATACTACTCCAAGCACTTATATTCATGGTTTCGAACAGTGACCTTTGCGGTACCAGCATAAGACCAAAGCGTTTCCTAGACGGACTTTTCTCAGTAGCTAATACAATTGGCAATCTTTTAAATTTCGGATTCTCTTCAGTCAACTCGATTGAGATTAACACAGTTCGTCGACACGTCGATGAGCTTAACAGGGAATATCCGGATCTGCGTAAGCAGGTACTGCAGCAGCGGCGTGCCTTGAGACAGCTGGGCACGTCTGAAAAACAGATTATGGTGGTACTCAACACTCATAGTGACATTTTGTGTGAATCAACTTCCGCTGTGAACAAATGATGTTCTTTTCTGAATGTTGATTATGCTCATACACAGATACTGACAACTTGCCTGTCCGACTATGGCCGGGACGTGAGCGCTTCGATTGACACCCTCCTCATGGGGAGGATCCCTCCGTACCTCGTGTCCCTGTCCATGGTCCGGTCTGCGATTGCTCGGGTGACATCGAAAGACCCCGTGGCCCTTCAGACTCACTTGGCTTTCTCATTGGGCAGTGCTATCCCATTAAGTGTCAATCCAGATGCTAGAGAGCTAGCTTTCATCATCAACTTACCCATTGTGTCTCCCAATGACATCTATAGATTAAAGGGTGTGGTAACTGTAGGTAACTTGGTTGGTGACACTTATGTCAGGTTGCATACGCCTCCTGTTGTCGGGTTCCAAGAGGACACGCCGCACGTCCGGTTGGTTCCGGATCTACGTGTGTGTTTGCTCACATGTGGCCTACACTTCTTGTGTCCAGGTACACCTTTTATACGTGGTGGAGGCACTGGTGTGTGTGGCATTGATAAGTTGTCAGGTGACTCTAAGTGTCCTATGACTGTGACTACACGTTCGCATGTTGTTCAAACTACTGCTGTTGTTGTTGGTGAATGTTGGTTGGTTAATACCCCTGCTTGTGAAGCGGATGTTTCCTATGAACATCATGGGGTGTCCACACGTGTGGTGCTTCCGTCTCAAACTCTATGGGTGACATTTCCACATAGTACTATGGTCCATGTAGGTGAGGTCTCTCAATATTACTTGGATCCGGGTGAGTCTGTTGTGGCGTTTTCTCCTTTCTATGACAACATCTCCGTTGCTCTCTCTCCAGCTACGGTGGATCGTGTTACGTTCAGTGGTCCGACCATGGTCCGGTGAACAGGGTGCTGCGTGAGTTGTCGGCAGATCCCGGTCTCAGTTTTCAACCAGTGTCTTACTCCTGGTCCTCCACTGATTCTGTCGTGTTATTCACTGCATGCCTAAACCTTTGTTTGTCTTTAGGTTACACAAGTTTGTCTGTGTTTGTGTGTGTGCATGGCTGTATTTCCTGTCTATACATGACGTGCAGACTTGGAGTGACTGGGGATGGTCAAGCTGTGGGTCCCTGGAGTCCTGTAATGGTTAAATCTTAACGGCAAAGGGAGCATTCCACAAATTATTATGTTTATCCAAACGATTTCTTTTTTTTACCTACAAATCTAATTCCTTATAGGGTACATTCACATATAGGTTTGATTACTAACGACACTGATTTACATTTTTAGTGTTTCTTCTGTCAATTACAAGTAATTCTATTATTAATACTATTATTAATTCTTTTAGAAATGTGGCAAGGTGGATAAACGAGGGCCCGGGCGGGATTCGATCCCCAGACTCCCGGGTGAGAGTCATACGCTCTAACCAGTCAGCCAAAGGGACATCGCCTTGGCCAAGTAGCCAGGGTGCATGATCAATCGGGACACTGTGACAGGACGCTCACACTGTCACAGAAAGATATTCACAGATATACATTTCTGCATTATTTTATTGCAGCTGATTTCTTTCATCTTTTCTATCATAATTAATTTATTTTGATTTTTACCAGTTATGGGCTACACATTGCCCTTCTATTTGATAACATTTTTGTTCAAAAGAGTTGATTTTTTCCTCATATATTATAGGGTTATATTCATTTTGTTATTTTTTGCAACACTTTTTCCAATACACGTAGGTTACTGCATCCATTTCCTACACCTGAACTCTGTTCACATAATTTGCTATACATAGCACATCTAGGCACACATAGTGCTAGGTTTATTTTTCTTTGTTGTTTTGCAGAAGACGTCTATCCATGTGTGTCTACTTGAAGTGCCCTGTATTCGCTCTTCTCCTCTTCTGAGTATCGCCATTGGTCTTCACTTCCTGTGAGGACCTCTCTACGCCATCACCTGATTCGGCTGCCTGCTGCCCGAGGGTCCGGTGCGTTTGGGTCTGGACATCCTTTGGTTCCTGCCGTGGTTGCGGGGGCTCTCCGGTTCGCCTGGGGCCTGGTCCGGTCCCTACTCTTCAGACTGCGCTGTGTGGGAACTCAGTGCTCATTTATCCTTTTTGAAATATTAACTTCCATGGAATTACCGATGATCGATTGCAGTTGATACTCTTCCCGTCACGGGGAGATTCAAATGTTCTACAGGTGTTGACTTAATCAAGTCTTCAAAACATGTTCTGTGACTTTCCACCGGGCATGGGGAATGCTTCCTCACTCCTTCTGCCTTCATCTGGGACATGACACCTGCCATTCCTCGACGGAGTCCTTCAGGCCTCTAGGATGTTACAATGCCAGGTGGTTTCTGTCAGACCACCGTGTTTTTGTAAAAGGGGGGAGATGTAACGTTACCAAATGGACTGATTTTGAGATGCCACAGTTCATATGCACGGCCAGAGCAAATAACCCTGCTACACATGTTCTGCTGTATTTTACCCTGACAGGAGATGGATGCAGGCTCTTTAATCAGGTGACTTCATCAGCTGAACTGAAGCTTGATCAGATAATGAAAGATGATAGTAGCATTTTTTTCCTCAAGGTTCTGCACAGAACTCTGTTAGATAAACTTTTATTCCCAGAAGAAAAGAAGATTTCGTAACTAAAGTAATCATTTTATAATTCAAAAAAATCATTGAAGAAAAGGAAATCTTATAACTAAGATTTTATAATTAATAATCACCAAATATTGCTGTGTGTAATTATAAATGATGAAATGTTTCATGAATCTGTTTCAATGATACTAAGTATATTTACTGGATTAGGTCATCACACTTGCAGACAGAGTGACCCCGGCTTTCCACGGGAGCAGTCAGCAGCACGTTACTGCAGCAGCACGTCTTGCTCGCGTAAACTGCTGCTTGGCCCTTCCCACGAGACGCGAAGCAGCAGGGGAGCAGCTGTCACCGACAGAGCACGAAGTCACACGAGTGACTTCGTCAGTAAACACAACAACAAGCAGGAGAAAACTACAACATGGCTCCAAAAGGTTTGTGTTTTATGTTCTGTCCGTTTTATAATCGCCAATACGGACCTGAAAAACAAAGGAGACCGCTAGCTAGGTGATAACTTCTCACGGGGCCGCACAGTTAGTAACTTCTTTTAAAAGTAAAACAACCGGACGGCAGTACGTTCTTTATTCTGAAAATCTCGGGAGCTTCTCTCCATTTCCGTGTCCGATTTCCTGTCTTTCCTTCCCCAAAAATGTCGAACTTGACCCGTTTCAGAGGCGTCGCGCGTAGAAAATAGAACCGGCACGTAAAGGCCGCGACATGCTGCTCCTGAGACGCGGCCGACTCGCGCTGCTGACGGCTCCAGTGGAAAAGGTTCTGTTGACCACAGCGGTTCCTATCAGCAGCTATGACGTGCTGCTGCAGTAACGTGCTGCTGACGGCTCCGGTGGAAAGCCGGGGTGAGGCTAAGATAAAGACATGACACATAAATAACCCTATCGCTCATTTCAGAGTTCAGAATCGGAGACTGTGTTCTGAGATGCTTGCCAACTTCTGAGATAACACCAGGCCTTAAAAAGAGCTTCACTCTCAGTCTCAGTAAGTTAGACAGAAAGAGAGAGAGAGAAGCTCAGAACGGCCGTCTGAGCAAGCCTCTTTCACCAGAAGGATTTTGACATAGTCAAAACCTTAAGCTTTTGCACCTGCAAAGCTGAGGACAACAAGATAATTTTCCTGCAGAACAAAGCTGATTTTGCGACACTCCTTCAGAGTTGTTTTGAGACGCTTGGTTCCATCCAGTCCACCTGTGTTACCTGGAAGCGATCCTGGACCGACCTGGTCGTACTAGGAGTTAGTCTACGGACTTCTGTACTCAGGGTCTCCAACCCCCCTGACATTTCGGATCCGCAAGGGCGCCTCCACTTGGGTACGTAGAACACAGTGAGATAGCGTCTATATGCAGTTTGATAAATAACAGCTTGTAGCTTACTTGCAAACCCAATTTCCTCCATCCAGGATTCAGCTTTCTCATGATATCGACTCTGAAATACTATATTCACACCTAGTTCCAGACACCCATCTCTTAGTTCGCATCCACTCACAGTAAATAATAGTTTAAACCATTTGTCAAGTCTTAAATTGTTTGTAAAATAAACTATTATTTGTTTGCAAACCCTGACTGGTTCTTGAATCCTAAACGAAGTGTTTACAGTCCCTGAATAAACAAAGAGTCTACCCTCTATTGATTCATTGCAACTGGGAGACTCTCACTGAAGGCATCAAAACTATGAATGAACACATGAGGATTATGTACTTAACCAAAAAGGTGAAATAACTGAAGACATGTTTTAAATTCTATTTTCTTCTAAATAGCCACCCTTTGCTCTGATGACTGCTTTACACTCTTGGCTTTCTCTTGATGAGCTTAAAGAGGTAGTCACCTGAAATGGTTTCCAACAGTCTTGAAGGAGGTCCTAAATGGTCATGAAAATAAAGACAACACATTAAATGAGAAGGGGTGTCCAAACCTTTGGCCTGTACTGTATATTCTCTACTCCAGAGGTCACCACTTCTGGTCGTCGAGGGCTACCATCTTGCACATGTTAACGGTTTCTTTGCTCCTACACACCTGATTGAAGTAAATGAGTAACTAAGTTAAAGGAAATGTCAACCCTGCCTCGGAGTCCTTCTCCACCCACATATCAATTTTTAAAAATGAAACATTAGTAGGCGTTGCCTGGCAGACTGAGAGGGCGGAGCTGCGGCAGTGACGAAGACGATGGGTAACGAGACGAAGCTAGCTCTTTTCACTCTGTAAGGTTATGAAGTTCATGGTTTTCAACTCCATACAGCTGGCCCCTGGGCACAATAACACCGTGTAGAAAAACCAAGGTCGGGTTGTTCCTCAGACTGTTTACATTCCAGGAGAAGAGTCCGAAGGAGAAGAAGAAGCTTTACTTAATCAAAGTACTTTATTTGTGATTAAAATTATTAAGCAAAACAGATGTTGATCAACAATAATCAAGTGAATGATCTGTGAAATAAATATGTCATGAATTATGTTTAATGAAACCAGGACTACGGTGCAGACATACTGATCCTCATCTCCATAGAAACGCATGACACATTGTTCCAACCAATCAGAGCTTTCGGCTGCCGCAGGAGAATCTGGTGTTGACTTCAAGTGTCCAATCTACTTTACTGAAACTTATCAACAATTCAGAGATATAAAACAAGGCAACGCCATTTTAAGTCAGTTCCATTTTGACTTCAGTTCTATTCACCATCATCCTAAAGACAAGCGCAGCCTGGCCGGATGCGTTTTCTTTAAACTAAGAACTGTGAAACGGGAGATTTTCGTCGTTTAACAACCAGACGACGTCCTTTCAAAATAAGAGCACCTGCTGACGCCGCTGAACGGTACCGGGTCGACCCTCCAGACGGGCTTTGAAACGTTGTGATCGCTGCATCGACAGCTCCATCGTACATCCGAGGTTTCCAGACCTGGCATTTCCTGATCTACCTGGGAGACCCCCACTGGGTACGTACACGGCAAAATAGCGGCTCATGTCATCACTTTATAAGCCTCGTGATATCTAGTCATAACAAAGACGACCAGATTCAATTACGTCATCCTAGAGAATCTGAACCAGACACACACACTCACACACACGCACCAACACAACATCCGAATCCATTCTCATCCATCACAGAGTAGTCCTGGTAGATTGTTTAGAATTTATAATTCAGAAATTAAAGATTCTCAAACGATCCCATATCTCTCTCTTTTCTTGTCTCAAAGTCAATACAGAGTGTTTAATTAAACTCCCTGATGATAAAAACAGCCTATTCTTCTGTTTATAAAAAGTGAACTACTAACAGTGTATTAAAATACAACTTTAGATAGTTACATCACTTTGAGTCCGTTACAACTCTGAGCAGTCATTAGAAGTGGAGGACGTTTCTCCCCCTCCTTACCCAGACGATGAGAAGAAAGGGACAAGGTCTATTTGGAGGAGACAAGCGGACCTGAGCCTTATTGTTTTGAGCTTGTGAGTTGCCTGAAACCACTGGAACCAACCCAACAGAACCAGCTATGAATGGTAAGTAGCCATTAGCCATAGCATTAGATTAGCTGCAGGGTTCGGCCCCATGGCCCTAGAGAGCTGTTATCAATCATGTTTTAGAGATTTATCTGCTTCAACACACCTGGTTTTAATCAGCAACAAATAGCTGAGCTGCTTAGCAGCTAATCTAACCTGTTAAAGCAGGAAAACCACTGAAGCGTGTCATAGCAGCTCTCTAGCCGCCTACCCTGGGCTAAAGTGACAGTCTGCTGCAGAATGTTATGAAAATACCCCATGAGAAAATTATTCTGTAATGTGTTCATTTATGTTACACAATCCCAAACAGCCCACTAAAACTGCCCTGATTTCATTATTTACTGATACCAGCTGCTCTCTTGGTTGCAGGTGATCCTCTGGTGTCTGCAGGTGGTCTCTGGGGGTGTGGTCAGGATCAGGAGCTTCCAGAAGAATGTGCTTTTGAATGACTCTTTCCCCTTCTAAACAGTTATTTGTTATATTAAATAAATCTCAGTTTATATATTTCCTGTTTTTTGTTCATGTCCATAAATACTTAAACATGCTTGAAATTAAAACAAGCTTTTAACAGTGAGGTGCTAGTTTAATTCATCACCATAGAGCTAGTTAAACATGCAACAATGTGATAATTCATTTAACGTAATTTATAAATATCCAATAAAATATAAAAACTGGAATTAAAATGAGACATTTGGCAGCACAAAAAACTTGTCAAACACAATATTTATTATAATAATTGTAGGCAGACAGGAGACAGAGCTGATGGAGGTTCTCAGTCATCGAAGGATGTCTGAAGGCTTTCCAGGAACAGGAGATGTGGTGTTGTCTCTTCTCTCTCTATTCTGCCAGATGAGCTGATAGGTTACAGGTGTGTGAGGACATCCTCTCACACCTGTAACATTCTCCCTCTCCTGATAATAACTTTTTGCTTTACTTGACGTTGGATGTGCTACTGCTAGTTTATCAGTTTAATTATAGATCTACTAGGATAAATACAATAAAGTTTATCTCTCACCAAATAGAATATTTACTAAGACATCACAATATAACTGTAGACACATTACTTTGTCTTTGTGTGCGTGTGTGTGTGTGCGCGCGCGTGTGCGTACGTGCGTGTGCCTGCTCTGTCTTCTCGATCCCCAGTGAGTCGTGGAGGATGGCTGCTTATACTGAGCCAGGATTCTCTGGAGGTTTCTTCCTGTTAAAAGGGAGTTTTCCTCTCCACTGTCGCTGCATGCTTGCTTAGTATGAGGATTGCTGTATAGTCACTGACACTAGTCAGTGACTTGATGCAATTTGCTGGGTTCCTTATATAGGAAACATTATTTCTGATTGGCTTAATGAACTGTGAATTGGAATGTTTATTATGTGAAGTGCCTTGAGACGACTCTTGTCGTGATTTGGCGCTACAGTGGGGCAAAAAAGTATTTAGTCAGCCACCGATTGTGCAAGTTCTCCCACTTAAAATGATGACAGAGGTCAGTAATTTTCATCATAGGTACACTTCAACTGTGAGAGACAGATTGTGAAAAAAAATCCATGAATTCACATGGCAGAATTTTTAAAGAATTTATTTGTAAATCAGGGTGGAAAATAAGTGTTTGGTCAATAACAAAAATTCAACTCAATACTTTGTAACATAACCTTTGTTGGCAATAACAGAGGTCAAACGATTACTATAGGTCTTTACCAGGTTTGCACAAACAGTAGCTGGTATTTTGGCCCATTCCTCCATGCAGATCTTCTCGAGAGCAATGATGTTTTGGGGCTGTCGCCGAGCAACAGGGACTTTCAACTCCCTCCACAGATTTTCTATGGGGTTGAGGTCTGGAGACTGGCTAGGCCACTCCAGGACTTTCAAATGCTTCTTACGGAGCCACTCCTTTGTTGCC